GGTACTCAAGGATATTTAGGATATGTGTCGTTTATAAGTACTGCATTCGTAGATAATTATTGAAGTAGAAAAAGAGTTAGAAGATCTTCAGCAATAAATAATTAGAAGAAGAAACGCACTGAAAAGAGAATAAGTAACACAGAAAGTTCGGAAGATCTACAACTTTTGACTCATATACCAAAAGTTATTTTCAACTTATCGTCAGTGCGCTTATTGTAGCACAAAAGAAATAGAGAAGAGAACGAACATAATTTATAACTTTTATTGCGTCGATCTTTGCGTAAAAAATTGTTTTTTGCTGTATAATCAAAACTACGTGTATTAGTAATGAAATAAATAAATGTTTCAGTAATTATAATAACAATTTTTTTTTACGAAAACGCAACAATAACAAAAATATTTTAATTTTCATGTGATCACGTGCTTTTTTAATTGTAATTTAACCACATGCTTCCTAATATGATCTAGTTAGTTTATACCAAGTTTCATCAAATTTTAGCTCAGTAAAAAAATTCAGGACTCAAAGGGTTAAAAGATACTTCTCCTGTGTATAGTAATTTCTTTGGTAAATAGAACTTTTAAAATAATAAAATAAAAAAATAATTTTACTAGTTTGAGAGAAAATAATTTAAAGTAAAAATTAAATTAAATTAATTTAAGGTAAAATTAAGATAAAAATAATAAAACTAATAAATTAAAAATTACATTAAAATTAAAATTATTTGTTGACTTTTTGATACAGACTAGACCTTTCTCAGAAATTGTTGCTACACACGCACACACTATTGATGTTCTTTTTTGTATAGCTATATACTCTTTTTTTTTTTATTTCTTTTATTTTTCTTTTTTAATATTGGTAATATGGACACAATGTGGATGGAGGTAAGAATCCTGTCTTCGCTGGTATTCATCCCACCTACCTGGGAGAAAATAGTGCAATAGTGATTTGAGATATTTTACAGCATCGTAGTGAGTAACAAAATACCCACACTCGAAGGAAAATTCTTTTAAAATTGTGCTTTTTTGTCCATTTATTGGTTTTTTTCAAAGAGAAAAATGAATTTCTTTGTTTACTTATTGACGAAAGTTTTTGTCTTGAAAATGTAATTGGTGTTTCAATTTTAACCCTTTGGGAACGTTGATACAAGGATTGTAGCACCTATTTTTCAGTAAGGAAAATGTTTGTTCTTCATTAAGTTGTTATCACCTGTACGATAATTAGTCGTTCCAGCTGCTATTATATGCATACCTTTTCTTTCTTTCTTCCTGTCATATAGATGGTTCTCAGATCTTCTCTTTTCTTTCTACTTCATATACTGACGCCATAATCATTGCCTCTCTTATCTTGGTGCACTGTCATAAAGATGTTATATAATCATTTTGAGTCAAATACAATAAACTGACGAAAGAGACATTTTCCAGTTAAAAATTAATTCCGTCCTCCAAGGATTAATAATTTGACACGTGCTTCGAACATAACAACAAATATTATTTTCAGAATTAATCAACTCAAACTTTAGCTTTTATAGGTACAGCGACAGAACGCATGACTCATCCCATCGCAATAGGTTTTTTCCAACGTATCAACCAATAGAAAAAATGTCGTTTTACAAACCTATATATGCGTCATTATTATTTCAAACTTTGCTCTATTCAGTCACGGCAAAATAACTTTGTTTACAGAAGTAAGTTGATTTTCTTGTTTGATATATGTATCTTACTATTATATTATATTGATTGTCGATCCATGTTTTGTTTTGATGAGTCATGATATACAACACATTCTTCTTTTTCCGTACATAGCGACAGTATTAGATAAACAACCCTATTAGGAAGTGAAAGTAAAATACGAATTAAAAGAAACAGTAAACTTAGGATATTTAAAAAAAGGTTATTATACATTTTATTAAATAATTAAATGACCTTCATTTTAATAAATTTATTAATTATATTTAAACTATAGTTACAATTGAATATTAATTTAATATTTATTTATTTATTGTTTGAAAACGTTTTGAAGAATATCTTTCTCTATTGTCAGTTCAATAACTTTATATTAAGACTAAATATACATACCTACACGTATTTCTAATGCATATTTATCTATTCTCGTTTAATAGTTTCTTTTTTCTAATAGCAGAAGGGAATGACAAAACGATAATACTCAATGATTGAACCTACGTGTTTCATCTTTTGTTATACTTATAGAAAAAGAACAAAGAAAACAGAAAAATAGTTAGATACATATTCCACATAGGGATATATACATTTAATCTTAATAGAAACTGAATGAAGTGATAAAAGAGAACGAAATTCTTCAATAAAAATTCATATTATAAATAAGTAAATATTAATTTAACATTCAATAGTAATTATAATCAAATTATCGATTAATAAGACGAGAATTTAATGATAAACATAGAATTAAATTTATTTAGTAAATGTAGTTTCTCGAAATAAAGAATGTTTCATAATTTTCGACTCCATTTTTATTAATTGTCTATCTTTGCTGCATTCAATGATGGAAAAATATTGAATATATTTATTTCAAGAGTCAAACCTACGCTATAACTGAATAAAAAAACAAATCGGATTGAATTCTCATGAATATAACGAGATAACTACATCAGTAAAAATTTTAGCAAAACTATTTTTTATTTCTTATCTGTCAAGTGTAAAAAATAAATAGCAGCCCCTTACTCATTCACTTGCTACAAGTCACTTCTATTGTTTTATTCTTATGATGCGCTCAACAGGTGAGAGAAGACTTGTAGTGGCGTGTATATTTCAAAGATGTGGCTCTTGTTGCGAAAGAAAATAATGTCCAAACTCACACACACATCCTACACCGTTGAAATATATACGGCAGTAAGAATTTTTTCTTACCTGACGGACATATAATAAGTACAGAACGATGGAAGTGACTCACAACGAGTGAAAAGATGACTAATATTTTTTTTGCGCTTGATAGATAAAGAATAAAAAATGACTACCAAAATTTTTATTGATATAGTTCTTTTGTATCATATATGTAAATTTAATCTAATTGTTTTTGATTCATACCGTAGATGTTACTATTGAAATCTATATATATATGTTCAATATCTCTGGACTATTGTATACAGCAAAGATGAAAAAAATAGTGGGATCGAAAATTATGAAATACCCATTATTTTTACACTTTTATCAGATGCAGAAAGAGCACTTTCAAGTAAATTGGCTTGTAAGTCCAACAAAACATAAATAACTGTATTGAACATATGATAGATTCAGAGAAAAAAAACAACAAACAATTTGAAAATGACTAGATGGAATATTTCTCGAGATATACAACATAAACAATAAACTAGAAAGCCAAAGAAAAAAAATTCGTAAGTGATTAAGTCATCAAACACATCTAATTTTAATAAATCAAATAGAGTACTTTTAATTCTTAGATAATTTGTACAACGATTAAAAAAAAAGGTTTTTCATCGATTAGAGATCGCAACAGAAATGTTTTCAATATTCAATTATCATTGTTATGAAAATGAAACAAATACACGAAAATTTGTTAGGATTCTATTTTTATTGTTGTGCCAATATAATTGTATATTTACACATGTTTCGAAAATGACTATGTGATTACAAACAGCTTTTCCAGTAGAAGTGTCATATTCCCATTATCGTTATCAGTAAGGGATAAGTGGTATTTTCACATAAGTTGTAAGTGGTTTAGATTTAACTGAAGGTGGCCATTATACATCACATCATTGATGATTTCATCAGAAATATTTTCGTAGCTTTCTCTTGACTGATTATATTATCGAGTATGATTTTCTCAGTTGCTCAAGTAGCCTTAATAATTGTTAACATAAATAATTCGTCCCAAATCAAGAAGTATGGGTTATTGCCGATCAGAAAACTCAGGAAAATGGTGGAAATTCAGTAATCGGGTCCAATTGCCGGCTCGGCCCGGTTACGACCGGTAATGAGGAACTAGAAAAATCCGATCGTCGAATTCCTGCTTCGAAGTACCTACCATATTCTCGAGTTTTTCGGTCACAAACGGTTTCTTTCCGGTAAGAATCCACCATAGGTTCCAGAGAGTACATTGAATCTCATCCAAGTTTTAACGCTGCATGAGTCAGTATATTCCAGAATTTTTCTGAGAGCCTGGTTCTTATCGACAGCACCGCTACAACTTACGGGTGGAAATTTTGCATTTACTGTTACTTCCACCTACACCTACCATAATAGCATTAGATAGTTTTTATGATTAAAAAGCTTTCTATTTAACATTGATAAATGGTCAGTTTAACCGTCGGTTAGTTGTTATCGCATGTTATTCCTTATCACTTACTTGGTAGGTGGTAGATACCGGAGGACAGTTATCGGGTAATAGGAAATTCCTGGATTTGACTATTTCGTCAAGGAAAGGCCATTTTACGAAAATAGCGATTGTATATGGAGTTTGATCAAAGGTCTTCGGAGTCAAGAAATCCGAATTTGAAATTGATTTCTCGAAATTGTGTGGTTTATTTCTCGGACAAATTATTTTTAATCTGCAGACCTTTGATCAAATTTCATAGAAAATCGTTACTCATGGTAAGTGTGACACTTCAATTGAAGACTCACTCCCATACTGAGTCGTATTGGCTTTTTTTGGCCATTTTCTAGTGAGAAAAATTGAAAAATAGTTCGGAAGGAAGGAGCAATTGTCGTCAGCGTTCCTCTCAAAGTCTACTATTGACTCAGATAGTCTGTTATCTACATTTAGTCGGAAAAAGATAAAACAATCTTTATGTAAATATATCAACAAAAGATTATCTTATAGTACTTGAGTGAAATTCCGTTTTTTCGTATTTTAGAAAAAAGTTAAACTGTTGAATTTAGAAATTTTAAAACTTTGAGGAAAAATGGACAAAGAAAAGGCTAATAAATCGATCTCAATCTTCTGGTCAGACCAACAATTTGAAAGGTTTTTGTGCTGCCTATGCTACGCCCTACTCTTCCCGCCGATGCAACTGATTTGCTGCGGGGCGCGCATTTGTGCGGCTTGCGGAATATCAAAGTAATGTAATCTGCTTATTCATCTAACTAAATCTGATAAAAGTTTCTATTTGTAGACTTCAACAATTATCCCAATGTCCATTTTGTGAGGAATCAGGAATACCTGAGGTAAAATAAAATCAAAACTTGTTTTATTTAATGTAATATTTTAAAATTGAATATTTAGGCCAGAGATGATAAAGGTTTCCGACGAGAACTTGAAGGCCTATCAATAAACTGTCCTAGATGCAATGATCAATCGTTTAGACTTTTCAAAGACTTGCCAGTAGAACTTTTTGTATGAATTATTTTTGTTTATCAAAAGTTATTTATATATTAGACGCATCTCAACGACAACCATTGTGATCTTGAGTGTGAAAGTTGCGACGAAAAATTTATTTTTCCGCAACAAATTACGAAGCATCAACAAGAAACTTGCAGAAAACGAATTGTCTGTTGTCCGCTCGATTTTGTAGGATGCTCGAAAGAGGTATTTATTATTCTACTACATTATTTGAAAGAATTTTCTATCTTATTAAATTTAATTTCATATTTAAGATTTCTTTATTTCAATACATTCAATTTATTTTTATTCTTATTTAGACTTTCTTTTATTTCTTTCTCTTAATTCATTGAAGATTGAAAAATATCTATTTATATATGATATATTTTATTTACATTTAGGTTAGATATGATGAAATGGTTCAACATTACTTAAATAATCAACATCAACGATGTCTTATGTTGTTTATTAAAAGAGTATTTCCGAAAAGTTTTCAAGGACAAGCGATGTCAATTTTACCACCATTTTTCGATGAACAGTATAATCATATGTTGACAGCTGCCTTAGAAAAAATCAATTCGATAGTTCAAAATGTAGAACCAATAATTCACAATTGCGCTCATCTTATGTCAGAGCGACAAAAACATGAAACAAATATTAATGAAATCCGTGCACAATCAATAAAAATCAAAGAATCGTCTGATAAAAATGCGAAACTTACAGAGAATTATCATCAAGACTTGGGGAACATGGATAAAAGTCTCGCTGACATTAAATTAAAGTCTATCGCAGGCCCGAAGCTATTGTCATTCGATAGTACATATATATGCAAATTCAATCTTCGTTCGTTGAATAGTAATGGACAAGTAGTACAATCTGAACCAATTCAGACATCACAAAGTGGATACAAACTAGCAATTAGTTGTGGTATATTTGTTGATGAACAGAATAAAAAACGTTATGTATCAATTTCATTCATAATTCTTCCTGGAGAATTTGATCCAATTTTATCATGGCCATTTCGATTTCCAGTCACAATCAGTATACTTAAGTTGAAAGGAACAAAAAAGAATATCAGTCAGTCAATTTCATGGGACTCTCAAACAGTGCCACTTGATCGACCTGGAAACAATGCAAGTGTTTCCGTTCAAATACCAAAGTTTTGTCTAGTTGACGAACTTTTCGATAATACCAACACTTATACACAAGATGAATTGATCTTTGTACAACTATATATCAATTTTATGGCATCATCTGCACATCCAACTACCAATAAAGAACAGTCAAGGATGATACACGATCCTATACAAACTAATATTTTATCAAACATGATGACCAATTGAAGACAACGTCTCATATCGTGAACTCTATAGAAGTTAAGATTTCGCTGTTTGTTTATTGTGAAATCTAGAAAACGTATATTTCGAAACCGACAGGTTCGGAAATGAAACAATAAAAATCAAGACAATTGAAATTTTGAAAAGTTAACATTGCGAAAGATAAAATATCTCGAAAACAATTATCGAAAGAAATTATTTTATGAAAAGAAAAACATCGAACAAAGACACCGAATACGTTCTTATATAATATAACTATATATATAGTAATCACGCAAACGCGATCAATCATTTCAGCTTTCTAATTTCTCCGAAAACTACATATTTCTCGCGTAACTCTGGTCAGTATTGCTGGTATTCCTCCAGAAACGGGTCGAAAAAAATATGCAAGTTGTATTCCGGACTTAAAAGACATCACACCGAAACTCAGGTTTTTTTCAACATTCTCTCGAGAATAGAAATAAATCAAAACCTTATTGGATCTCGAAGAAAAAAGAATAGAAAGGCGCCAATAACAAACCGAAAACTTATCATGTCCGGTCAAAGATTCATCGAAAAAAAAAAATCTATCAATTTCAGAGTCATTATTAAGACTACCAGAAATATTGAGAAACTAATCAAATTCACTCAACACCCATCATCTACTTCAGACAGTTAAGGAATTGGTATTTTATCATTTAAACTGCGACGTATTGTCCAAAAAAAACCGTTTATCATACCTAAACGCCGTATCGAAGCCGATTAATAGCAGGAGGAAATCACCTCGATAAACTTCAAAAACGTTATTGGGTGTATTTCAGCACCAAATATATAAGGTGATGTTTTTTGACGTTTATCGAGATGGTTCCCCTGCTATTATCGGCTTCGATACGACGTTTAGGCATGATAAACAGTCTTTTTGGACAGTACATCGTAGTTTTAATGACAAAGTGATGACTTCTTAACAGTCTGTAACAAGCAGTTCTTGACGATGAGCACAAGAGCGGGTGATGGATGCAGTAACATGTGAGCAAGGACGGCAAAGTGAGACTTCAATACTCCAAAGTACGATGAAGTACCGTACTTTGGAGTATTGAAGTCTTGCTTTTTCCCCATTTGGATGTGAGTGAAACATATAGCTGCAGATAGGTTTGGATGAGGTAGATGAGTGGAAGATAATGAATGTGTGAGGCTCTTCTCAGTGCTCACCCATAAAAATTTTACGAAATCATATTTCTGACTTCGTTATTTAAGTGTATATTTAAAGCATTGTCATCTTACGATCAGACATGTTTTTGAATTTTGAAAATTGAATATGTTCAATATCGCTCACGTATACATATGAAACGCAAAACAAATGCATTAAGTCTTACATTTGAACTTGGTCTGTATGCTTACTTTTCTTGAATTTCGAACACGTTTATATCCAGCAAAAATATTTACATAGATATGCCAGTCAATGATGCGTACTAGAACAAACTATCTTAACAGTAGTGGGATCATTAGATACTAACACTACGCATGTATGTGATTGACAGAAGTTTTCTTAAACCCATGTAAACATTATGCGATCTTTAACTCTTTCGATTTCATAGTAGCAAAAACTGCTACACATGTTTTATAATTAGTTTTGCATAGCACAATTCATAAAAATTGGTAGACAATCTGTTAGAATGAAGCAATGGTGAATCAATCAATTAATGGATTGATGTACTGATATGCCACTATCTGTAAGAAGATTCTACACTTTTCTAGAATATTTCTTTAACTTTGCATTCAAATGTAATGAAATTCACATAAAACCTTATATTAAGTATAAATTACGTGCACGCACACGAAGCATTTGTGTCATGCGTATTTCTGTATCTACAATAACTTAATATAATGACCTACTTCAACGTAATACAACAGATTTCATTTGGGCTTCAAAGAGTATGATTGCATTTAATTAATTTCTTTTATGCGCTTTCAGAATTGGTTATGAATAAAATCGCGTTTGGATGCATTTATCGGATATACCACTGATTACGTTTCAACAGTTTCAAATAAAAATGTGTTCAGATATATTTATCAAAATTCTTGGACATTGCAGTCAATCGCGATTTTGATTTGAAACGTGTCCAAACGCTATTTAGAAGACAACACGTATCTGCACGTATTAGGAGGCCAACAATTCAAAGAAATATTTGGAATCACATGGAGGAGTAGCCTAACTGAATACTCATATCCATATCGTTTTTTTTATACGAAAAATCTTTTTTTATGTCAAAACCATTATTTTTAACAAGGACATGTCTCAAAGTCATAGTGATAATAAAAGTGCACATTGGAGTTTCTACCTATATCTTTTCTGAACAAGTGACTTTTTGATGATGCTAGATTTTTTCAAAGGCCTTCATCATGCTTTTAGATATTTTTCACTTCTCTTTCCTTTTAATTGTGAGAGATACCCATGGTTTATCGTTGTTGCAATCTTACACTTATCTCTCCAAGTTTAGATTATGCAACACTTGAACAGCTCCACAATTATCAACAAACAATTTTCGGTTCCATTTTTCTCGGCACTGCCGAGTTTCACACATATTTCAAAGCTTTTCATTAACATCATTTGAATGCATATTACAATGAGACGGTATTTGAAAGCGTCTATTATGCGTTCAGTGTTTGTATGCGAAAAAAAAATGAAAAAAATGAGATGACATGGATTATTTATTATTCATCAATATAAAAATAACTTGTAGAAAGAGAAACAATCTCAGTTAAATAAAAACGAGATGAATCGCTTGAGGAAAAAGATAGTATCAAAAATATTGAATATCAGCATATGGGAATATTCGATACAAATTATCACTTATAAAATTCCAAGAAATGATTCTCGAAATTATAATTGATAGATAATTATTAAATTTATTTTTTTCTTTAGTTTATTTAATATATAAATAAATTAAATCGATGGGGAAAAAGTTTCATAATCAATTATCTATTGAAATTCGACAGTATTATCTCAAAAAAGAAATAATTATTATATGAAAATATTTTGTTTTATTAGCACTCAGAATTGATAAGCTAATTGTTCTTGATATCTCTCACTCAATAAAATATCATTAAAATATCTGTCAAGTAAGTATTTCGTTTGTTTTTTTTCTTTCTTCTATAATAGAGTATGTTAATTCTTTCAGCATCGAAGATCTACGATCTTCATTCGATAATAAATATAACAAAGAAAATAATGAATCTAATGATTGCCATCCGTTACATAACGATGTCATATTAGATGTCTATAATTGTGATTTAACAATGATTGTTAAACATGATTGTCTTCGTGGTAAATCGATGATTGACAATGGATTATGTTCGTTATGGTCAGGTGTACGAGTAACATATGGAATCAATCAACGACGTGGAGCTTTTCAAATAAAAGTATTTACTTCAATCATAACTCAAGTAAACTGATTCGGTTTTTTTTGTTTTTTAGATTCTTCATCATTTACATTCTTCTGATTTATTACATAATGGAATTCCATATGGGATTCGAGTTGATTGGTTAACCAATGAGAGTAAACTGTCTTTCGGTATTACTTTCCTATCAACTTAGTTTTTAATGTAGACTTCGTTTTTTCGCTGATTGGAAACTTAGTACAATACTTGGTACTTTTTACTTAACAGTTGTACTTTCTATTTGTACTTAAGTCTGATTCTACTTAGTACCGGTACTAAATACAATCTTCTTTACTTATGGTTCAAAGTGTTTCCTATCTATTTAAGATATTTTAAAAATTTCAAAATAGCTTTAAGGTAATAAAACAATTGAAAATATAGAATTTTTTCAAGATAACAACGAATATAGAAATTCTATGGATTAAGTATTTGTGTTACATTTAATCTTATATGAGATAATGTTTTGTTGTTACAAAATTGTATTCCTCATTTATCTCTTTATAATATAGTTCTGTAGAAATTTTTCTTACACGATCGAATCACGAACAATAGAAGAAACTTTAACAGAGAATTAAAATTTTTATTAGTTTGAAAAAAAATCGTTAGTTGAAAAACACTAATGTTCTACAAGAAGAAATCGAAGAGTTTGAAGTTAACTCTCGAATATGTCAATGATGTGATCTGATCCACCAAGTGTCCATCTATTTGTGTAGGGCCGTTTGATTGGTCTAGTGACCGCGTGGTGGAGAAGAAGGATTGAACGACATACTACGCCTTGATTTCTTTTCTTTGACCATAATTTGACTCATTAGTGGACATCTTCATCGATTTATATCACACAGAAATTTCGACTGATCTCTATTGACTGCAGGTTCAGAACAATTTGTTCCGAAAACTTCGAATGTTTTCATTTCTTCAAAATTATCAATTTTGTAGACCTGATATTTCAAAGAAATAGCGATGAAAAAAAAATATTCTTTTCACCAATCGACAGCCTATGACGTTCACTACAAAAAATGTGCCTTATCATTTCCAAATCCCATACTTCCTTCATTTTCTGCAATGTTTCTAAAAATGTCAATTCCGGTCACCAATAGGGGATAAACGGGCCAACAGACAACCAACAAAAAATATCTGACAAAAATAGATGGTACATATAAGAAGCATGAAATAATTAATTTATAACAAATTTTTATGACAATATCAGTCCGAGTGTGGCTAATGAAAAGTTTAGCGGCGAAACCAGAACACTAGTGCCCTTCTTGTTTTGGGTGGGCAGTAGTAGATGGCACCGTCACTATGTATTCAGGATGTAAATTACTAGAAGAGTAGTTAACGATGAAACTAATATCCTAACTCCTCTCTTATTTTGGGAAAGATAATGGAAATTGTGCAGCTACTTTATTAGTACCATGTTTTCTTGATAACACGACCTATCATTGTTCAGCGACAATAAGAGAGACGCTCGTAGTCTGGCTCTGCCACTAATGATAATAATGACATCCATAAGTACATTATACTACTAAATAGAAGCAGAGATAAGTAGAATAATTAAGTAAAAAAGTAATTTCACTTGTATTGATCCATTGACTGATTAATTGATTGTTATTAGGTGATGAATCATTATCTTATGGATATGAAGAAACAGGTAAAATCTTGAGAAGAAATGAATTTGAATAGTATGGTGAAGGATATTTAGTTGATGATATAATAACATGTTATGCAGTAAATCATTTTAAATAAATTTGTTGTTTTTTTGTCTTTTAAATAATATTTTTGTTTTTGTTTTTGTTTATAAAAGAATTTTGAAAGTGAATGTGGCAATATTTTATTATCTTTTGCTAAAAATGATTTAAATATTGAGTTAGAATATCGTATAAATTATGAAGATATTCATTCAGGTCGATTATTTTCTCATATATTCATTAAAAATCTTTCATTTCAAATTAATTTTGGTCAATTAAATACAGTTTGAAATTATTTCATATTGATTTTGAAAATAAAGAAAAAAAACTCTATTTTAGAAATATTTTCTTCAATCAAATTTTCGTTTAATAAATGATTATGATGAAGATGAGAGAACTCGAGGTAGATTAGATCCATCAAGTAAACAAGAATGTGAAGTAAATAGTTTAGTCATCTTTCATTTATTTATTTATTTCATATATAGGTTATTATGATGGTAGGTTTACCAGGAGCTAGAAAATGATATTGGATTGAACAACATTGTAGAATAAATAGAGATAAAAAATATATTATACTCAGTACAAATAATATTATTTATAAAATGAAAGTTAATATAAAATAATTGAGAAAAAATTAAAAATTAATATTTATTTCTATAGAATAATAATTGTGATTGTTATTATAAAATAATTGATCGAGCAACAAAATGTCTTAAAATAATGTTTGATTTAGCTTCATCTCAAAAATGAAATTTTATAATTGATCAAGTTTGATTTTATTTAATAGAACTTGGTTTTTTTTGTTATGTGAAATATTAGACAAATGTTTATGGAAATAATCGTCGTCGTAAAATGTCTTTATTTTATGGATTCTATCGATGAGCTCTTGTTGTTATTCCGAAGGATAATCAATATAAACGACGAAGATATAAATAACTTATTTATCAACAAAAATTTATTAATAATTTCAAATTAAAAAAAAATAACCATTGTCGAATATATGACAACAATTATAAATGAAATCGAGAAGTCTCAAACGAAAAAGACATTTTCAGTTTTAAATGTAGAAATAAATAATAAATTCTCGCTTTTGTCATCGATTATTAGTGAAAACAACTATAATCGACAAGAAAAATATTTTTATTTACAAATGATGTATTAGGATAACAATATTGAAGGACATGCGTGAATTCCACATTTCAGTTCCAAAGAAACTGCTCTAACAAGCTTTTTCTTCCAGTGATCGTTTCACTTTTTTTTATTTATTCATTTAATGAAGTTCTTACCAGAAGATTTTTTATTTTCTTTTTTACAAAGAAAGATAAGAACTATAATCCTGATTTTCTATCTAAAATGACATTTAAATTTATAATTATCATTAGATAAATAATTTCTTGCATTTACTTCGAAAGAGTATTTTAAAAAATAAAGAACTTTTAAATTTCTAAGATATCAAGAAGCAATGACTCGTGCTTTCTATAGCAGATTTGAAAATGACGGATAAACTTTGAATATGAATATTGGTCAATGAATTCTATCAGGTTAAATAATAACAAAATATTGAGAATTTGTTTCCCGAGTCAAGCGTACTATCTATTATTTGGGCAAATCTTTTAGAGATCTGTTTGAAACAAAATATATTTAGGTAGTACCAGTCTCTATATTATTTTCTTGTTAATGGTGTTGCAATTAAATGACGCTTCTATAACGAACATTCACTTTTTATTATCTGACTTGTTTATTTCACCACCTGAAGATCTGGAACCGTATTAAGTCATATATCTTTTTGTTTGGATGATTATAATCATCATCTATCATCAAATATTCGTTACTTAAATTTGTTCTCAGTCAGAACATTTTTTTCATCGCAAATATGTTGAATACACTATTTATAGTGTTTTCTAAGATGTTGATATACATAGCTGTTAACGGATAATTTCGTTTCAACTAATCGATAATAATAATCTTTTTTATTTTCTATTAAACGACAACTATTTCTATATAGATGAACGAACTAGAAAAAAACGTAAGATAGTTGGAAAAAAAACAACGATGAGGTGAAAAACATCAATACTATCTCAAAATAATAGAAGACGAAAAAAAGAAAGAAACAGAAAAATACCACATATAACTGATTTAATCTATAACAATAGGTTTTTACGATTGATCGATTATTATTAATTTAGGTTTCTCTCTGGAACTTGTATATATAATCAGTCTTATTCACAAGTTATTTTTCTATCTGAAATTATCTCAAATATAAAGAGATTTGGTACGATAAAACATTGACAATAAATTTTATTTTATCGATTTTATATTGAAATTCGCCGTTTCGATCATCTAAGTGATGATTTTCAAGGAGTAACTGACCAACTAACTGAATAATAATTATTGAAATTGGTCACTTAGATGATTGAAACGTCGAATTTTCACATAAAATCGATAAAATAAGATTTATTACCATTATTGTGAAATTTTATTGTACTATTATATTGTCTTTCACAATTGATTGAAAATAAAGAGATTTATTATAATAAGAATTTCCAACATAAACTATTTTGATGATAACATCAACTAGTATTTGGTATGATTGTCATCTATGCTCACAAAGAATCTATTTTATGAAAAATATGTCATTCAACATTTGTTTGAAATTATTTTTAATATAAACTGTCAGCGAGTTGATCGATTTTTTAATTAAAGATAATTTAAAATTAGTTTAATGAAGATTTGGAAAAATATCAATTTATGTAAGCAATTATGAGTGCTAATATAAATACTTGTTGTCGTAAAATTCAAATAACTTTTAGGAAAAGATTCATATTATTCTAGTCCAGGAAGAAGATATTGGACGATGTAGAAGCCATATGATGTGGGAGTGAAGGCGATTGCAGCTAAAGGTTTCATCTTCAGCTACACCGACATCCTCGAGGAAAAAAAACAAAAATATGCATCTCGTTTTCTCTCTTTCTTCATTCTATACTTTTACTTATTCATTATGAAAAATATCATCAAACAGAAAAGAATTCCTATATTTCATTCAATAATATTATAACGGAACACAGATAACAATCTTATATTAGGAGATGTCTCTCCTAACATAATAGAATACATCAGTTTCTATAGGACATATTAATATGAGTAACATTTTTCATTTGCGTATTTGAATAACTAAATGCAACACATTAGAATCACCGCTTAAAAATAGTTTTCTTTTGTTCTTTTCTTTCTAAGATGTTTAAAGTAACAACTGTTTTGATCATTAGCAGCACATTACAGTATATAAAGAATCTGATTAGAAGACATTTAGAGAAAAAAACGATGAAGATTGAAAGACTGATGCTCGTGCTTATTACTGTCTCTCTAGTCGCCTTGTTGGACTTGAGTGATGCACAGTGTTTTCTTACGAAAAGTGTCACTCGTACTAGTCGTATGTAGAAGTTAAGAACAGTTTTATCAAACAATAGTATAAATCTTTTTAAATCTTTACTATAGCCTATGGTACAAAGGAAACATATTGCGAATACAAGAAATTCCAGTTTGCGGCTGGATGTACTTTTCAATTGGCCTCTCCAGAATGTATCAAGTGTAACTGCACAAGTACGATGATGAACTGTTGCATGTAAGAGCTCTTTATTTGTTTTATATATATTTCTATCGAATATGTTTCATAGGTATGGTCAATCGGCTAGCAATGTGCATGCAGAAGGTTGCAACGTAATAAATGACTTTTGTGGCATTGTCCTAGTCGATCCAAAGGATCCGAAGAAACTATGTACACCTTCTGAATCCATAACCATTTTGTAGACAACCGTCTGCCATATCCACATCTACATGTCATATCCCTAAACTATTTGATAATTGATTAATTACGATTAAATAAAATAAGAACAAATAAATGATCGTTGAAAATTATTCGATATAATATATTTGTCAAAAATCATTCTTTGATTCCCTTCAAACTCTATTCAATGTAAGACACTATAATAAGTGATTCTCAAATCTATTCAATTCATTCCATCCAGAGACGTGCACCGCTCGTGCACGGGCGGGGACAGACGCTCCACATGGGCCTTTTTTTCTGCTTAGGCGACCGCGCGTTCACAATTTGATCAAATTAACAGTTGTAATTTCTTGCAGTTGAAACTGAAAAGTCGAGTTAATTTTGATCTAATGCGACAAGATTCCTATATTTTTCTATTATATCAAAAATGATAAACAGTCGGACATCGACTTACTACATATTCTGAAAAACGAAGTAAAATACTTTTTTCTAATTCTGTTATTAATTGTTTTTAATTATCAAGAAATTAAGATGTAATTAATTAATCTAGAAAATAACAATGATAAATACTTTTCTCTATATATTATAGCTGAGATTGAAGATATAATGGGCATTGTAAGCGGCAGGAACAATGAATAAATGAATATGAGAGCAATTTTTTAATGAATATATTCGCATATGAAGTGGAGACTAAAAAGTAAAATATACTACAATGGTGGTACGTAAATATACCAATAAAGAATCCTAAAGAAACTCAAAGTTACAGTCAAGAATTTATGTAGCGTGTGTAACGAAAAGACTACGTAGACATTGTTTTGTTGATTATCTCTTTTTAATCTAAACACAATATAAAATCATTTAAGGTGAAGAAAAACAAATCAATGAATACAAAGTCAAATAAAAATATTAAAATAAAAGAATAAATAAACAAATAGAATCGTAAGTATATGTTTTCCTCTACAATGACTTCATTTAATAGATACACATATAGTTATTTAATATATTTAATTTTTTCGTTCGTCTTTCTGAATTTACCAATTGTAGTATCATTCGTTTGTCGTCAATATATTGGTAAAAACTTGTTTTAAACTAAATATGAAATTTGTTGAAACTGACACTTTGTATTTAAGAAAAAAAGTAAACATACTTACACCGTTGATAGTGTGCTTAAGGGGTCCCATTTCCGGGCCCAAAATTTTCAAATTTTTCATTTTTTGTTTTTTCTGCTCTAGATGTGCTTTCAAGTGCCCTCTATCTACTGATGACGTTTTGAGAACTCAAATATAGCTCTAAAGCAAAGATAAAATCGAAAAGATAAATCGATGGACGTAGAAGTATAGCACGATTTTTTCTTTCTTTCGCAATTTTCTAGAAATCTGGTTTTTCAGCAAAAATCCACAGAATCGCCCTCGTTTCTCAGGTACAGTAAATCCGATCCGACTGAAATTTCTTTTACAGATAGTAGAGACACTTTAGGGGGGGGGGTTACTTTTTTTGTTTTGAAAAATATTGTATCGCTGAGTTTTGACAGGTCTTACATGGCAAGCACTATTCAAAAAACATGCGTTTTTTAGGGCGCTCTCGGAATTTTGGCTTGTTTATTCGAACGGTACGAGATAGAAAGAAACCAAAAAAAATAGCTCCCCTAAAGTGTCTCTACTATCTGTAAAAAAAAATTTCAGCCCAATCGGATTTACTGTGCCTGAGAAACGGGGGCGATTTTTAGCCATTGTGACTCGAATATCTCCTAGAAAGAAGCATTTGCGAATTTTGAATCTATGACAACTTTTACTCTACATATCGAGATCCATCAGCTGTGAAAATTTCAATTTTTTCTGACTAGCTGTTACCGAGAAATTCCGGAAAAGGGGAGGGATCCCCTTAAGGATTACCAGTAAAAACAATCTTGCAATACAAGAACAAGATCACTCAAACCGTCTAAATCAATGATAATAGCGTTTTCAATGTTTTACTGTATTTTATAATAAAACTTAATTCAACTAGAATGCTGAAGTTATGTTATAAAGAATTTCTTTTTCAACTTCAAAAATATTCAGCAGTATTAACGAAGGTTATGTTTCTTATATATTTGAAATACTTGAAAAACAGATGGATCATCATCATGTTTTCTTGTTTTTTCAAGATATATATAAATCGGACTCAAGTATTGTGTACATTTCGTACACGATATTTTTTAAAAGATGATCCAAATTCAAATTGAACATGTCTTAAACAGATGTTTTTTGCTCTCGGAAAATGAATTAGACTGATAGCTGCATGGTGTATTTTTTCTTGTTATTAGCTATCTTTTCTTTAGTAGCTCTATAGATTTTTTTTTCAATTTAGAAGTTTATTGTCTGTAATAAAAAGAATTTGTTTCATTCAATCAAAATATGAAATAAGCCGTGAATACAGTTATATGTTCATTCTTTATTTTCTTCTTTTTTATATAAAGCATATGTGGATTTCTTTTTCATCTACTTGAATAGTTTATATCAAAATAAGATAACAATGATCGATATTTCATACGAGGAAAATACATTTGAAAATGTTCGGGGATTGTAGAGATTCTATCATAAAATTGTATATTATTTATTTTAGAACAATTCATTCGTGTTGTTTCTCTTGTGAAATTGTCTGTTACTAATCGTAGAGACTTATATTCGACAGAAAGTTTTAAATTTTTTGATAAATATGTTTTAGTAAGATCAAGAAATTGTTCAATATAATCATTGTGAACAAGGAAAAGATCTAATTCAGTAAGATGAGAATATTTAATAATCGGATATTCTTTTTTCTTCGTATCTTTTGAAGATTGAGAATGTTTGTGTTGTTGTGATTGTGTATTCGTTAAACGTAGTTTCTTAAGATATGGAAATGCTTCAGCAATTTGAATAAAAAATTCATGTTCGAAAGGATGTTCATCACATAATGATATTTGACGAACACTTTTAAATAGTCCACCTGGAAAATTATTGGTTATATTATTATAAAATAATATTGTATATGGCAGAGAATAAATATGACATTGACCAACTTTTTCCCGTCGAGAATAATCGACAGAACAAACAATTTGATTATCTTTGAAATTTATGAATGTATTTCTAATATCTGCATTTGAAGGTAAATAAATTTCATTTAAAAAAAATGTTCTTGAATGAATATTAAATGCAAATTTTTTTAATCGTGGTAAATGATTAATAATATTTTCTTTCAAATCATTTCCATCAATAAATCTTTCGTCCATAAAATGATTGCTTACCATTAAATACAAAGCAAGACTTTCTAAATTTGACATTCGATGCAAAAGTGGCACAATTAATTCATAATACTTCAATGTTGCATCTTCACAAGTCAGCGAAAAATATTTCATATTAGATAATTTTTCCTAAAACATTAACAAATTTAAAATGAATGTAAACATCTTTAAAGACTATTAATCTTATTTTTATAGAATAAATATACCTGATCATTGATCGTTGACGATTGATTATAGATAAAATCAATATTAACAAAAAAATGTTTCAAGTTGATTGAAGCAACCATCGAGTATATAAAGACAATCATGAAAATATTTTACAGTAATATGTAATTCTTTTAGAATTGAAGATGAACAACTTTGATTAAATTGCCAATTAAACATCGGTTCGAAGTTCATGTTCAAAGATGTATCAAAACTTAAATGATGTAGATTAGTGAAAGTAATTAAAATATTTCTGAATATATTTCCTTTTGTATTCTTCATTAATATTGGTGTTTTATTCTTACCAAATTTGATAACAAGTGTCGAAATTTTATGTTTAAATATACGAGCAAGGAAAGATTCGTCTAAATATAAATAAAAAATTCATTCATTTTAATAACTTAGTGTAGATCTTAGATAATATCGTCACTTAACAAATTCTCAGTTTTCAACTAATCGATAACCGGAAAACAAAATCAGCTAGCGCAGCTTTTGGGGTTTAATAAGTGAAAAACTCTGTGGTTATTGTTGCTAATCAAATGATAATCGCTTTGTTTGATCTCTTTTATGACACATTTCTTTCTCAATCTTTTAATCAATCATTTAGACTACAAAAAGGATGAAACTTATAATCAAATCTTACTAATATACGGTCTTTAGTCGTATATTAACTGTATTTGTCACATTCTATTGATATTTTTATCCTATTTAGTTCAACAATCATTTCAGATGGTGTTTCATGAAAATCTTATATATTATAAAAAGTAACAAAAGTTAGTCTTTATTGCAATTCTAATTGATTACTATTGTAAAATAATTACAACAGCTGATGTCTTATATTCTTTCTATGTATTCATTCGATAATACACAACTTATCTATTACTGATTATTTCATTTTCTAAGATTATCTTTCTATTAGTATCCTGCGGGAAAGACTTTTCTCGATTTACATTGAAAAAAGGAAATTTAAGCCCGATCATAGAATCTTTTCAAAATTTCAATAACGGTCTCATTTCTCTTTTTCAAAATACTACCAACTATCAACGTCTCACTTTGTACAACGTAAGATTACATCGTATAAAAAACAGAATTATAATTGAAAGTATAATTTAGTACAAAAAATCAATTATTATTTATACATCGAAACTTATCAACGTCAAATTAAGAAAATAATCTTCCTTATCAACACATATAGAATAAAAAAAAAGCAATTCTAGAAAGGGAACTGCATCTCATTCTAGTTACACTTTTACATAGACCTATAAACTCTTCTAATTAAGAATAAGAACTCAGAATTTTCGAAGAGAATGAGCCTCACTACTCTGATTCCACCGGTGCTCATCAATCAAGACTACTAAACATCAACAACAACCAGAAAAATAAGAACATTCAAAGAAAAAACTAATCAGAATCACATCATTTACGTGACAATCTATATAATAGGCTTTTCCAAAATGATAAAATCTTTTCATTAATTGAATAAAGATCTTGTAAGGAATGAATCAACCTTTGAAGGTTTTGATGATAGATAATTACCAATTTGTGTGTCACAGAATAAGTGACGTAAAAGTCTTTGGAAGAATATCGAGGTTGTCTCAATGATATACTATCCAATTGACTTCAACTCTTTTCTTCGAATGACCAAAATCAGCAATACCTTTAAAAAATTGTTTATCTATTTGATTTAAACTGCATGAGAACATCCTTTCCTCTAATTTCAAAACTGTTTTGCTATACTTCCAATCATGTATTTGGTAACTGAAATCATTTTAATCATTCGATGCCATGAATTGTATATATCAATGAATAGATTTTAATACATTCTATGTAAGACTTAAATTTGTAAAAATTTTCACTAAAAAAAGTCGAAACTCTTATTCACTGTCTTTCTCTGTTTCATAGTTTTTACCGAACTAATATTTCAGAAGATAGAATATTACAAAAAAAAAGAGCGCTCTTAAGGACAATATAACCAAACAAACTTTGCAGATAGATACAATTATAGAGATTGAAGACTTCTATTCCTAGATAATTCAACTCAAACTTTTAAATAATCCAAGCCGCGAGATAAACAACTGAAAATATTGAAGAACCATAAGCCCAAGACATTTGAGAATTGCTCCGTATTCATTAGAGTCCTAGAAAGAACTTCGCAACTTGATTATGACTCCAATATCGGCGGAGCAAAAGCTAGGCGAAAGTGAATTTTTGGAGGCAAAACGGCGACCAACACCGAATAACGGTTCTTTTCTCATGTAATTAAATTTCATTCTTTCCATTAGTTAATAAAAAAGAAAAAGATAATACATGATACATTGAGATTAATCAAAATAGATATTAATGCTATGGAAAGTACGACAACTGTTGACATTATCAATTCTTGCTTGTCTTTAGACAAAAAACATTGCAAGTAGGAAAAATGATAAATGAAAAAATATTTTGAAGAATAAAAATGTTAGTTTTTAAATTTAAAAAAGATATTCTTTTTGAAAAAAGCGACCTTGAAGATGACATATCTATAAACTTGTTTTAGTTAAGAAATAGAATTTTTTAGTCTAACAAATATCCATTTGTAAGTCAAAAGATAAAAGCTTTCGGAATCAAAACAATTCAATCTGTAGACTTCTAGTTATCAAATTTCATCGTAATAAATCGAAAGTAAAACTTTTAACCATGTTAATCTGTTTTATTCTTCAGAATTTCTTCTTTCGAATAAAACAAAAAAATCAAATCAAAACGATATTTGATTGTTGATAAATGAGTTCTGACATATTTTTTACGATATTTCTATGGCTTGTTACATAAAAGAAATAATTATTAATAATAAAAACCTGTTACAGTAAATATCTTAATGTATTTGAAAAGAGAACAAAACGATTTTCGTAAATATCCATTATTAATATTGTTCTCATAGAACACTAGTTATTGTACTTAATTTAATTATAGTAAATTCTTTTTTAATCTTTTCATAACATTATAATGTGTGTATATCTTTTTGTAATTTATGTACTTCCGTACAATTTCCTCTTTTCTAGAAATCAGTGCAAAAAAAATTAGAAACTATATATAGATCATTTTATTAACATGTCAATATTTTTTTAATTTTATATATCTCTTTTATTCTATAAGAATGTTAAATTTCTTTTTAATATTCTACCTATATTCTGACTATTTTATTGTCGTTCCTAATAATAATAATCAAAAAAAATTACGATACAAGATCATAACAATTCAACTAAATTCGCAAATATTTAAAAAATAAAATAATTTTATAGAAATCAATCGCCTTTATTTGTATTTTCAATGTGTCGAAGATTAGAAAAGCTAAAATAATTTTCTTTACCATTG